TCCCCACTCTCAGCCCGTGACTGTGGATGGAGGCGGGAGGTGGGTCCCGCTGGTGTTTGGAGGCGTCCCCTCTCTCTGCCAGAGGGTGCAGGGATGGCAGAGGGCTGGGGCGCAGGGGTTCTGCCGGCGTCAGGGTCAGGGAGCTGGAGCTCGCGGGGTGAGGAGCAGCGTGTCCCCCAGCACAGGGACCGGGTTCTGTTGGCAGGTGTCATACTGCACCCCAGACACTGCAGGGGAGCCCCGGGGGCGGACGCAGCCTCCTGCAGCTCCTGCCTGCCACCCTGCCGAGGTCTTGCTGCTCTCACTGGGGAGAGGCATCACCCAGGGGGAATAGGTGTGGACTGGTGGCTTGCCTGGGGAGGCAGAGGTTCCTAAGGGTGGGTGAGATAAGCTGGGCAGCCTGGGTTGACCCCAGCTAGTTGCGGGCAGGAGAAAAGGGCTGCTTGTGCTCACCTGGCCACAGGAGCCCCCCAGCAACCCCTAGTCCACGCACGCCCACGGCAGGGCCTGGGAAGGCTCCGGAGCAAACTTGTGAGCATTGTCCAGAGCTGCTGCCGAGGTGGGCGCAGGCTGGGGTCATGCTGCAGATATTTGCTCAGGAGGTGAACCACTCCAGGAAGCTCCCGTTTGATGCCTGAGGCTGTAGGGCGCTGGGTGAAGCGGGCTTGGGGTGCCCCTGCCTGCAGGATCGGAGGCATGTACTCAAGAGGGGGTTGCTGGCCCAGGAGCCCCGGCCACCCAAGGGCTGCTGTGTGCCCATCGCTGTCCCTCTGTGCAGGTACAGGAAGGCTGCGCTGAAGTGGCACCCGGATAAAAACCCAGACAACAAGGAGTACGCTGAGCAGAGGTTCAAGGAGATCGCTGAGGCGTACGAAGTGCTGTCGGACAGTAAGAGGCCATGGTGCTGTCTCATGTGTCTCCCCAGGCCCTTGGGGCTGCTCACCCTGGGGTGTCCTGCCTCTGGGCTCACCCAGGTGGCATTCCTAGACATCCCCAGGAGGTAGTAGGTCCCTCCAGCTTTACCGCTCAGCTTGTGGGGTTTGGTTTCCTCCCCACACATCCCCTGAAAGGGCTCTTGGGAGAGGTGCTGGGGTGGTCGCCTCTGGGATGAGGTCTCCCCAGCAGGGCTGAGGCTTGCGCATCCTCGCCCGATGCCCCAGCTTGGGTTTGGGAGCAGTGCTGGTGCAGTGGGGGCTCACGCCACCCCCTTCCTCTTGCCGTTCTGCACCTCTCTTGGCTGGGGGAAGCGCTGGTGCTCCTGCCTGTGCCACTGCTCCCGGCCCCGTGCCTGGCAGCCGGCCTCCCCGCAGCCCCCTCTCTTCTTCCAGAGCAGAAGCGCGATGTCTACGACCGTTATGGCAAGGACGGACTCATGGGTGCAGGTGAGTGGGGCCGTGGGGGGTTAGTGCAGCTCTGGATACGGCCCCATCTGAAGACCCAGTGTGGGTCTGTGCCCCCTGGGGCTCCCCGCCCTTCGGGGTGTTCCCACCCAGGGCTCCACTCCCCTTCAGCTGGCCCGGGGGGCTCCAGGGCCGATGCCGGGGCCCCCGAATTCACCTTCACGTTCCGCAGCGCTCATGACGTCTTCCGGGAGTTCTTTGGCGGGCGAGACCCCTTCGCCGACTTCTTTGGTGCGTGTGGTGCAGGGGGGGCAGGGGGCTGGCTCTGGGGCACTTCTCTGGCCCCGGGGCAGCTG